ACGCAGTTCTGGCGAGCTAAGAAAATGTTTGTCTCCCTGAGCTCAGCTTTCATAATTCCATTCCATCACAAGAAACCATAATAAGACTTAGTATGTTTCTGTGACCCATTGTTTCAAGGCCCATTTCTGCACTTGAGTGGTGTGATCATGCACCTTGCAATACAGTGCAACAGGACATCCTAACAAATATGAAGACTTTTCAGCAGGGGCTTCTTCTTACCTCCAAAATGGGTTTTAATCTAGGATTTTCACTCAGGATCCTAGACAGAAAACCCTATTTGAGATAGCTAAAGCTGGCTAGGGGCTACCACTCCACTGGGTGGAGCTGGGATACTCTCTTGCAAATAAGTCCTCTCTCCCTTTGTCTCAGGTCAAAACTCATCCAGGGATGAGCAGGGAGCGTGTGCTTTGCTCTCCACTCACCTGAACTCCATCCCGAAAGAGAAACCAATCCAATATCGGGAAGCCCAGGGGAATGAATCAGATGTCTTCGTGGAGTACTTTCCCCGTGGCATCAAATACCAGGTGAAAGGAGACTCGTTTTTCCAGTTACAGAACTTGCTGTCTTTCCTGAGCACTCTTGCTAAGCATAAGGGCCTCTTAAGAGCATGCACTCAGTTAAGCTTATGTATCTGAATATACACTGATACCAAGCTATGCTCTGGAGATAGTAGGAGACAAATGCCTCCTTCAAGCCCCATCAGGCTCATGTTGATCAGGGTGGAATCGAGGTGGCTCGCATCTTCCCTTTTTCCTCCTTGGGAAATTGTTCCCCATTTTCCCTTGTTTGCTCAATTTCCTTTCCATTATTTCCTCCAGGTCTAGCTGTGTTTTTGTTTTGATGATGCACTGGTGGAATTTTATTTGTTTTTAATTTGTTTTTATTAATGTATTATTAAATTTGTATGCTGCCCACCTCCCAATGACTCTTTTAGTTTTTTAGTATTTTAGGATTAGATTTTTACAAGATATCTAAATATAAAAATTATGTTGCTCCTCCCCTTCCTAAATAATCAACACTCAACCTCTTCAGTATCAACATAACAGTCTGGTGGTAATCAACAATTTGGGGAAACAACAGAAAACTAGAAAAGTATTTTCTAAAAAATCTATAGGCACAGACACTTGAGTGGCCATATTCACACCAGCTTTCTAAACTGAGACAGAATTGATTTGGTGGGGAATTCATCTCTATATATTTACACATGAGAAACTAAACATCTTTTGATCTAATTTACCTTGAAGGCTGATTTCAAGAATAAAATGAGAGAAGAGAGAATTGAGGAGGCTCCCTTGCTCTCCTGTAAACAAAAGCAGGAGGTGACTGTATTTCAGGGGAAGGCAGTCTCTTAAACATATTTCGAATTTTGACAGCTAGCTATGGATGTACAAAATACTTGGCACAATCTGGCATTCAGATTTATACACTTGTTCCTCACGATCCTCTAAAATCCTAAAATGTCTCTATCACTCACAGCCAGCTTACATCTGATTTATTTTTTGTTTGTTTCTAGGCAGGTGGGCACACATTCAAACAAAGCTGTAGGTTGGAGCTAACCACTCTATTGACTTCTCTTAATTCTTTGCTTCTTCTGTAGCACTAGGTTTCCCCTTGGTGTCCTGATGATCTCAAAGAGTCTCTCCTGACCCCATCCTCCTCAAATTCTAGCCTCTGTACTCCTGTCTCAACCCTGGTCTTTGGTCCACAGGAAGGTGGTGTGGAGTCAGCCTTTACCAGAACCCAGGCCAACCATGAGCAAAGCCCCAAGCACCAACTCTATCAAGTGAAAGGAAAAAAGAATATCCGGGCTATGGAAAGGGAACTGAGCTGGACCAGTTTTAATACAGGTGACTGCTTCATCCTGGACCTGGGAGAGGTGAGTCTAGAAAGGGAGAAGGGAAGGGGGACATATGTCACAAGAGTACATGGTGGTGTTCATGTGACACTATGAATCATAAATTAACCATATGTTACCCAACCATGTTGCATGTGTAGTTAGCTTATAGTACAATGCATCCTCCGAAACCAAAGCATGGCTAAGCTAATACAGGGAATTCATGGGATATATTCTCCAAGCAGGGTTGCTGTGGGACTCCAAAACTGCAGATTTCACAATCTGGTATTGCAATTCCCAGAATTCCCAGTCTAGTGAATGGTTGGGGATCCTGGGAGTTGTAGCCACAATCCTCCGATTGGATGTATAGTGGGAAGATTAAAAGGTGGTGATGGCTGGATGTCAGTGAGCTAGTAGTCTATTATAAATTGAATAACGTGTTTCTACCTTTCTACTTTTCCTTTTAGAAAATCTTTACCTGGTATGGGGGAAAGTCAAACATTCTGGAGCGCAACAAGGCCCGGGATTTTGCCACAGCAATCCGAGACAGTGAGAGAAAGGGGAAAGCCAGAGTAGAGATTGTTGAGGATGGGGAAGAACCAGCTGAGATGACAGCGGTAAGATCTTTCTGGGGGACAAGAAATATTAAGCATAGATGCAAATTAGTGTCTTGGTTGGCATTTCCCCAGCTGCTCCTTTCCAGATGTGTTGGACCACAGCTTTCTTGTTGTCTAGGGATTATGGGAGTCATAGAATTCATCTGGAAAACTCCTGGTTAGGCTCAGAAGACTGAATTAGAAAGAAGATTCCAAGGAAAGGTGTACAAAAGGTCTCTGAGAAGTTATGAAATCTTTATCCCAGTATGCAGCATCTGGCAATGACTTTCATACAGAGATGGGTCATAGGAACAAAAGCTGCTATTTTAGAGTAACTCACACTGCGTATCCATCCGGAGCAGGACTGCCTATATCAGAGGTGCTTGACTTTTTCACACCAAGAACCACACTCTTAGTTGTTGGCAGGGCCAGAACCAACTGTCTGGCTGGGAATCCTGGAATTGTAGACCCAAGACTGAAGGGCACATGAATGTATTTCCAATGCATTTTGGTTGCACATGGATGGTGGTGTGAAGAAGTATTTTCTAGAAGGAAGCACATTTCTGGCAGCAGCTGCATGACAAACATTGAATTTGAACTGGACCGTGTTAAGGTGTAGCACTGTGGTTCCACTGCAGGGGGGACTCTGCTGTAAAGAGATATTGGCATGATCTCTTCTTCTAGGTACTGGGTCCTAAGCCAGCTCTGAAAGAAGGCACTGCTGAGGAAGATATTGTGGCTGATCAGAAGAATGCTATTGCAGCAGTATTGTATAAGGTAATAACAAAAAAATGAGAAGAACCTTAGTTGAGTTCAGGTTAGAGGAGGTCTCCAGGAAATTGTCCTCTTGTAGGCACCATCTAAGATCCATTCATCCTCTCCTTCTCCCTGAGAGGGAAACTTATCAGCTGCTGGCTGAACATTTGAATCTACTATCTCACCATCTGTTTAATCAACTATAATGCCCCAGTATGATCCTATACTGGATATTGTGTGTCATTGAAATGATGAGTTGTCACAAAGTTAGTGATGCCAGTGGAATGGGAAGGGTTGCTGAGTCCTCCCAGAGAGTCCTGCCACACCACAAAGCATTAAGTTTACAGGCCAACCCCAACAGACAGTAAACCCAAATGACTTTTTCTCTGTGTCACTTACTTGCTGTAATTTGCAGTCTGTGGGCTGGATATGTGTAAATGCACATTCATCTTGAAGTAGAAATGTGGCAATGGGAAAAAAAAATACTGTTTTCTAACATTAGCTGAGCAACCTTTGTTATTTCCTCACCTCTGTTGCATCTTTATGAGTTCTGGGGGCATAATGAGTATCAGGATTATCTCCAGAGGCAGATATAGGGTCTCCATATGTGATAGGACTTAGTTTCAAGTGAGTAAACTAATAGACATAACTATATATATAAGACTATCTCCTTTAAAACCATTAAGCCCAGAGATAATTGATCTAGTTGTACCACAATGCACTGAGATCTGGGATCCTGGCCACAGCCCAATCATGATGGCTCAGACCAAAGATCCTTTCAGTATAGGTTTCTCCATCCTCCCAAAATTCTCCTATAGGTCTCAGAATTCTCAGCTGTTTTCCACATTGATTCTGAGGGTTACCCTCCTGACACTTCTCTAGAACATGAAGTTGGGGAATGCTATATTAGGGTACAGTCTTGCTTCAAAGTGCTTTCTGCCCACAACTTTTAGCTGCTAACAATTGGTTCAGAGGTTCCACTGAGGTCTTTTCCCATTGTATTAAGCTGTTAGACGTTCTGGATGCATTAATTCAGATTTAAAATGATGTCCAGCATGTAGGAAATACAGGAAGGAATGGGCTCCATGCTCAGCATCTTCAGCTTGGTGGATGAGAAGATTCTAGTTTTTAAAAATGCACCATAAACCTCAAAAGCCTGACATCTACCCTGTAATTATTGAATTACATTAAGTCTAAGTAAATTCTATCCTCCTCCATCATTAGGTCTCTGACATGACTGGGAAAATGAGTCTGACTAAAGTCTCAGAATCCAGTCCATTCCACCAGGACCAGCTTATCACAGATGACTGTTTCATTCTGGACAACGGGCAATATGGGAAGATCTTTGTTTGGAAAGGTAATACACATCTTGCACTGTCTTAGGGCCTTCTGTGGAACCATATATGCCGCAAAGAGGAGCATCAGTTGAGAAACTTGTACTCTACAAGATATTCTGATTAATATGCCCCAAGTCATCAGCTTCCATTTAATTTTTTCCTGGCATCATGACCACACCTTTCCTTCTTTCTTTCTTCTTTGCAAAGGTTTCTATGATTGGATAGTGGTTAAGGCAGTGTTTCTCAACCTTGGGAACTTTAAGAAGTATGGACTTCAACTCCCAGAATTCCCCAGCCCCCCTCCCCGCCGGGGGAATTTTGGTGGTTAAATCCAAACCTCCTTAAGATTTCCCGGGTTATAGATACTTCCT